CTCTCTCTCTCTCTCTCTCTCTCTCTCTCTCTCTCTCTCTGTAATAAGTAGCTAATGATAATGATAATTAAACCCGAAATGAAAATGAAATGAAAAATTATTGTTTTTTCTGTGTTTTCTGTTGGCTAATTATAAAAAATATTATCTCGATGAACTTCTTCTTCTTCTAAATTAACCACATCAATCAGCACAAACAAACAAACAAACGAATAAAAAACAAATTAAAACCGTTAAGGTTAACTGTGTGTTAACTGTTTGCAACAAGAAGAACATTTACCATTAATCATTTAACCTTAACTAGTTATAGCTTAATAGCTTCAAAAAGGTAACGAAAAGAAAATTGTTTTTCTGTTTCGTTGATTTTAATCATATCAAAACTTTTTTTCTCTGTGTGGAAGAAGAAATTCTTTTCCATAATTCCATTCTTCCTTCCTTCATAAGTCAAAAGTCAATCATCACTGATCATCACTGATAAGATTTTTGACTTTTTTTCAAGTTTTTTCTGCTAAAAAAAATTAAGGTCAAAAAAAGCCAAGAAAGAAAGAAAATGTTCCAAATGGAACATTCATCTCTGACACAATAGGGCTATATATATTGATTACCTTTGTCATTTTTGTGAAGAAAGAAACTCATTGATGATGATGATGACAGTATGAACAACAACAACAACAACGAGAACAACAAAACACGCGTATTGCACGAGCAAGAAGGAAATTACAGTTTTTTTTTGTGCAATATGAGGATTGTTGATGATTGTCAAAAACTATCCAATTGATTGATTGATTGATCAATCATTATTTCAAGTAACAAAAAAATTTTAAAGAAAATTTTTTTCGATAAAAATGAAAACAATGTTTTCAGGAAAATTGCCCGAAAACGAAAAAAGGAAAATCTTTCCCGAAAACAAAACAAAACAAAACAAAAAACATCGAATCCTGGTTTCCTGTTCTTTTGTTTGGTTCAACGACTGAAAACAAAACAAAAAACAGAAAAATATTGTTGTTGTTATTGATCCCAAACAGCAACAACAACAACAATCAATTCATTGAATTGAAATGATTGAAGATAACAACTATGATTGCCTATTGGATTGTCTTTTTTTTCTTCAAAAAAACATCTTTTTCGGATAAGATTTTCGATACAAAAAACCTAATAATAATAAAAATATTTATTGCTTGGCTAAGAAAAACAGAAGCCGAATTTCATTCAAAACAAATTTTTTCTGTCTTTGATTTTATCATCATCATTGGATCATTGGATATAACAATGCAACATTCGAAATCGAAAATAATCGTATGATGATGATGATAATAAGAATCGATAGTATCGGATAGTGATCGTTTCGACAATATTTTGTCTGTTGTCTGTTGTTGTTGTTATCGATATCTAATAATCATTTTGGCTATTCTCATCATCATCATCAATATCGATACAATCGATATTTTCATTTTGTTTCGATATTTTTAGTTTTTTCTTTCTTTTGGAAATTCAAAAAAAAGTGAAATTGGAAAAATGGAAACTGATAAACAAAAAACGAATATTTATTATATGATGATGATGATCGTTTTGTCCTGTCGACATTCATCATTATCATCATCATCATCATCAATGCTAGAAGAAGATAATTGAAGAAATTATTGAAGAAAACGAATCGATCCAATCGATCGATCGATCGATTTTGATCCAATCAAAATGATGATGATGATGATGAAACAAGTTACTACCAATAACGAACCGAAATGATATTTATCCTGTTCGTTTTGCGAATGAAATTGGAAAATTGGAAAAAAAAGAAACAATTTCGATAATGTAACCGAATTGATCTTGTTTTCATCACCACCATCAACACTGCCATCATCATTATCATCAATCAATAAGCGAATTTAATGAAAAGAATGAAAATTAGATCAAAAATCCAAGTGAAATCCAGTCATAGAAACAAAACGAATAGGATATGTTTCTTATTTTACATCATGATCATGATGGATGGATGGATTGGTTTTTGGAAAATCTATTTACCTGGCACAGACAGCATATTTCACCAAATGAAAGAAGAAAATCAAAATAGAAAAATATTTAAATAAATGCAGACCATAAGGAAATGAATAAAGGTGTGTAGGTGTGTGTGGTTTGGGGAGAGATGATTATAATAGACATTTAATTAATTTTTTTTCGTATTTCGGACACAGACACACAAAGGAATACAGATAGATAAATTATCAAACTAAAATATTGACCAAAGAAAAACACGCAGGTAATTTATGAACAAATTCATAGAGCATCTCCACTCTTTTTTCAAATTTAAATATTTTATTTGAAATATTTAATCCTATTTTCATCATCATCATCATCATCATCATTGAGCATCCATCTTACTAATCGGGGCAAAAAAAAGATTGGGGGTTAAAAACAACAAAGCTTAGAAATTGGCTTTGAAAGGGGAAAAGAAAGAGAAAGGTAAAAGAAAAAACATGTTTTATGAAAAAAACTGTAAACACAGGAATAGAAAACGAAAACAAAACTAAAGAAAATCTATCAATTGATGATCATTGTGTATATCGCACACACACTGAAACACATTACCTGAACACAAACAAACAACAGGTGTCATTAAGGATTTGTTTTTTTTGTTTGTTCTGTTCTGTTTGTTGTTTATCATCATCATCATTATGATTTTTCATTTCATTTTTCCCTCTATGATGATGATGATGATCCAAATAGAATCAATAAAGGAAAAAAATACCGTGTGGTGCGATCTTTCCTTCCTTCCTTCCTTCATTTCTCTCATCCATCCATATATCACCATGTGATGATCATCATCATTGAAATGAAATGGATGATGATCATTATTAGATGGATATAAAAAAAACATTTGTTTTATTTTCATTTCTAACACAAATGGATCAACAAAAATCAGGAAATTCAGTGAAGAAAAAATCCCCGAAAAGAAAAACAATGTAAAAATATCTCCTTCTTCGATTTGAGAAGAAAAATCTATTACCGGGTTTCATCATTCAATATTTTTGGATTTTCGGATTGAAAATTCTATGAAATTCTAGGGTTTTTTATTCTTTTGGTGATCGATATCAAATAATTATCTGTAATAGTCATCGATAATCATTTGATTGATGATTGATCAATCAATAAAAAATGAGAGAAATCAAGAAGAAAGAACCGAACAATAATCAACAATCAACAATCAACAACAAGCAATAAAATGTAATTTAATCACTCAATTAAATGCATCATTATTATCATGATTTGACACATCAATTGATTTCATTGATTGATTGGATATCCAATCAATCAATCAATAGACCAATATCATCACACATGTGAAACTTTTCCTCGTTTTCTTCAAAATACGACAATAAAAATCAAATTTTTTTTTCAAAACTTTCAAAAAAAGAAAGAAAAACCATACACCAGACAGGTCAAAAAAATGAATGAAATATTTTCATATCCCCCCATTTGATGGATAATCAGGTGAATAAAAGTGAAAATTTCGAACAGAAAATACAAAAAAAAAAAATTCAAATTTTATGGTGACAATTTATCATCACCAATGATGATCATCATCAACAACAACAACAAATTTCCTATGAATCTATTTTCATTTTCATTCATTCATTCATTCAGTGAGTCAAAATATGATTTTCTCTCACTTCTTTTTACCTGTTGATAATGATGATAAAGAAAGAAATGAAAGAAAGGTAAAAAAAATGAAAAGGTAAAAAAAAATCAAATTAGACTCAAATTCAATTCAATTGACTGAAATTCAATTCAATTTTTGCAAGATTTTTTAATGATATTTTCGACATTTCACACATACACCATGTGTCTAATGAAATTTTGTTCAAATAAAAACTTGGTGATAGTAGTGATGGTGACAATTGACAATCATTATAGCCACCATCATCATCAGGATCATCATTATCATCATCAATGGATAATGGTAACGATCAGAAAGAATGAAAAATGAAACGATCCATTTCATTTCATTTTTCTACAGAAAAAAAAATCCAAAAGTCAAGAGTCATCATTTTCTGAAATCAAAGATTTTTTGAATTGATGAAAAATGAAATTCTTTCTCAAAAATTTCATTGTGTGTATGTGTAATTTAATACAACAAAAACAGCAGAAAAAATCAAAAGAAATCCAAAAAAACACATCCGCAAGATGATCATCATCAATGGAATGAATGGAATGAAGATCATAAAGTGGATGATGATCAGGGAAAAAAAATTTTCACTTTTTTTTTCACTGTTGATTTTGTCAATGAAAAAATAAAGAAAAGTTTCTTTGTTTTCTTTTCTTTTCCCCATGAAAAAAAATTTTTAACCTCAAAAATATGAAATTGTAATGGGGGGCAAACAACCGAACAAAGCGAAATAAAAATTCATAACAGGTAGCCAGTGTGCGAGAAAAAAACAATCAAAAAGTTTTTCATTGAAAACAAAAATTTAAAAGAAAAAAAGAAAAACTTACCATTTTCTTTTTGATGATTGGACCTGCCGGTTGTAAAGATAATGATGATGATGATGGTGATAATGATTGTTGTTGTTGCCGATGTTGTTGTTGTTGATGACGATGATGATATTGATGTTGTTGGTGGTGGCCACCTGCAACAATATTTTTATTGTTATTGTTATTATTTATTATCTTTGGTGGTGATAATGATGGTGATGATGATGATAAACTATTACTATTCGGTAAAATTAATTTACTTGATCCAGATTCTTGTGCTTGTGGTTGTTGTTGTAATGTTCCACCAGCGCCACCACCAACATTATCATTACCATTGCCATTATTATGAATGATTTGTTTGTTATTGTTGTTTTCCTAAATGTTTAACAACAACAAAAAAGATCATTAAAAATAACATAAATGTTATGTAATTAGACAGAAACATACATTTATCATTCGAGAATGTTGATGATGATTTAATTTATTGTTATTTAAATTTGATAATTTTGTTGTTGAAACAACATTGTTGTTGTTGTTGTTGTTGTTTTGTAACAATATTGGTCTTTCCGTATATGTTTGATATGTTGGTGTTGTCGGTGATGATGATGATGATAATGGTTGTGTTGATGATTTTGCATCGTTTGTTGTTGTTGATGCGGCAGCCGCAGATGTGGATGCGGATGCAGCAGCGGAATCAGTTAATGATGAATAAATTTGTTGACCATTCGATGTCGAAGTGAATGTTACATATGGTACACGTCCTTTTATCACTGGTACTTTTAATGGTATTCTACCAATACGTAACGGAGCTGGTGATGAATTTGTTTGATACATCATCATTTGATTTGTAAATTTTATCATATTTATTATTAATATTATGATAATAAAAACTATTAATGTTTGAAAAGGGTTAAACAAAAAAAAAAGGATCAGATTTAATTAAAATTTACCTGAAAAAAACATTAATTAAAAATTACCTGATTTTATTGTCAACATCACATTATTGTTATTATGAATGTTATGAATGTTTTTCCTATTACTTTTTCTTCTCGACGACGACAACATTGTTGCTGTCGATAAAGATTTGATGCTAATTTCGGTTGCCATTTTTTCTTCAAAAAATTCGGACGTTTAAAATGATAATCTCTTTGTCTGTGTGAGTGTTATTTTTTCGTGTTATTCAAGGTGTTTTGTTCGTTGTTCGTTGATCACGATTATTTTTTTTTCAATTTTTGAATAAGATTCTTGATGGAAACAATTTCAAAGACCACCACCATTGAATGAAAACGAAGCAGCTAAAAGAAAGAAAGAAACACTGGCTACTATCTGGAGTAAATGATGATACGTAGACGATGATAAATATTCACAGATTTTGACCAACAAAAAAAAAAATGTCAATTATGATTGTTTAGGTTAGGTTGGTTGATGTGTGATGAGATTTTTCTGTTGACCATCTTTATTTCCATTGAAAAATGTTTTTTGTTCTTCTTTTAAAAATTGTTCAGAAATGGCCCGAACAAAAACACGAATTTGTTGGCTGCTATCTTCGTGTTGTTTTTGATGATGATGATGGGTTTAAAAATAATCACCACAGCAGAAACAAAATATACTTTTCATTTAAATAAATTCATTTTCGTGTCTTCTTTTCGGTTTCTTTCGGGTTTCTCTCGAAGATCTATTGAAGAACATCACACCCACACACTTGTTGGGCAATAATGGCGAATAAATTGTCGTGACCACCGTTCGGGCAAACAAATTTCACTTTTGTTTTGTTTTTGTTACCTAATTTTTGTTCTTCGGATTTTTTTTCTTTTTTCAAAAGATGCGAAACAATTAGGCAGAAAATGAAAAACCAAAAAACCAAAAAAACAAAAAAACAAAACGATAAATTCGGTCGGATGATGATTTTAGCTCAAACAACAAAAAAAAAACAATCAGGATGGACGAAACAATCGATAGTAATCGATTATTGTCGAATTATGAATTTATGAATCGAAAAATCCAAGATTTTTTTTGGATGAAAAAAAACCCAATTTTCGAGTTAAACAAATCAAACAGGTGTGCTTGGGTTGTTGTAGGTGTAAATGTAAATACCCGTTAACAAAACAAAAAAAAAAAATGCCAAAAATATGATGATTTTCAATGAAATGATTTTTCTAAACAAGAAGATAAGGAAATTGTCACTTTAAATCACATTTAACAAACAAACAAACACACAAATGATCCATTGTATAATTCGATGGCATTCTGTTTTTTGGTTGATTTGAAGATTCAGACACACCTGAAGCTGATCTTCTGCACGCAAATATGATGAATTTTTTCCTTTTTCTTCCAGTGTGTGACACACCAACCAAATAAGAAAAAGTTATGAAAAAATCATTGAAAAATTTGAAAATAAAAACTTTCGGTTATAATTGGATATCAGATGCTGAAGCAAAATTCAAAAATCAGAAAATTCAAAAATCAGAAAATTCAAGAAAATTCAAAATTCTTATCCGTCGTTCGTTCGTTTCGACGTTCGTCGACATCCAAACAATTGTTTTGAAATGAAAATCATCAGCCAAACTTTTTAAAAGATTAGTTTTATATATATGAATGGATCGGTTAGTGAAAATTATATATTTCACATCGCGAAAATGAAAAAGAAAGAAAAATTTTCCAAAAAAAAATTTTCTTTTCTTTTCTCTTTTATTTCAACCAAAAAATCTTCTTAGTTTCATTACATTCCATATTAGCTTTTTCTCTGGATCTTCTTCTCTTTTTGCTTGTTCGTTCGTCTCTTCTTTTGTGTTTCACAAAAGATTTTTCTTTCCCGAACAACAAAAAAAAAAATCTGTTCAATTTGTTCCGATCACCAATGATGATGGTGATGGAATTGAATTGCCCACGAAAGAGTTGCTGAAATTTCTTTTTCTGTTTGCCGGAAAAAAAAGAAAGAAAAGTTTGACTCTCACTTCTTGGCTTGTTCGGGGTTAAAGAGAAATTATTCAATTTTTTTTTTTGAGAATCAAAAAAAGATTCCATCAACAACAACAGCAAATCAAATAAAGAGCCAAAAAAAAATCTTTGATGATTTCTATATCCACACAATAGTGTCGGTTTTTTTTTGTTGAATATATTCACATTCGACTATTTACACACACATAAGTGGGTATTACCTGATTTTTTTTTGAACAAAAACAGCAATCAATTTTATTCAAAAAGAAAACAAATTTTTTTCCAAAACAGCCACGATTTCATTTGAAAACAAAAACATTGATTAAAACCAGAAAATCCAAAGAAATGAAGAAAACCGAAAAAAGGGCTTGTCGGGGTTAAAATATTTCATGTTGCTTTTTTTCACCGAAAAAACAAATGATGAATATCATTTACCTGAACACAAGCAAAAATTGATTTTAAAAAAAAAATTAACCCTTGACCTTCACTTGAATATTCAATCACATCTTGAAAATCAAAAATCAATCGAATAAAATCAATAAAAATCAATCGATAATCGATAATGATCGTGCAATGAATCAAAAAGATTCAAAAACAAAAAGTAAAATCCCTTGAAATATGATCATCAATTTCATATTCAAAGAAGATGTTTTGATTTTTGATTTTGTTTCCTGCCTTGATTTTTCATTTCTCAATTAACATTACCTGTTCAAACACACACACACTACACACCCCTGAATTAATCATTTTTTTGAAAAAAAATTCAAATTTCAATTTCAAAAACAAAAAACAAAACAAAACAAAACAAAACAAGGATAGTATCCTGTTTTTGTTCATCTGAAATGATGATGATGAAAATAAACATCATTGAATAGGGCTTACTTAACCTTTTTCTTCTTCTTCTTTTTCGCCAAAAATAATCGATCAAATTTCATTTTTCATCGATTGATCAATTGTTGACCCCGATCTTCGAAATATTCAATTCGATGATGATGATGAGATTGGCCATCACGGTATTTATGGACAGTACCCGAAAAAGACTAACCCCTTTTGATGAAAATTATCAAAGAAGAAAATTGATTTTTTTTTTTGGTTTCTTTTGATTTTTGAAAAAAACAAAAAAAACAAACAGATGCAAAAAGGGATTGATGATTGAGATGTTTCTGAATCAATCATATGCTAATCTAAAGGATGAAGGAAAAAAAATGAGAAAATTTAAATTTTAAAATTAAAAAATCAAAAATCAAATGAAAACAATCAATTCGGGTTTTTTGGTTGATGAATTCACTGAAAATCTCATCTGGAACAAAACACAGAAAACAAAACAAGTCAATCAAATGTCAATCAATAAGATTTGCTGTTGTTGTTGTTGGTTGGTTGGTTATTTTTGAAGAAAATTTGAATTTTGAAATTTTGAATTTTGTTTTTTCAAAATTTCATTCACTCATTGTCTGTCGACATCTTAATCGATAATTCCAAGATGATGATGATGATGATGGTCAAGACAATGAAAAATCATCAACATGATAATAATAGAGATTTTTTTTTGGTGAAGAAGAAAAAATATTCATAATCTTTGGAAAATTTCCAGAGAAATTTTCCTGGAAAAAAAATTAATGGAAATTTTTCTTTCCCCCCCAATATTTATTGATGATGAATTCAAGATTTATGGAAATCTATTTTTGGTTTGATAATCAAAATCAGAAAAAAAACATTCATTTTTTCCTTCCATCATCAGCAACAGCAATCAATATTTGATGACTCAATTAGCACCTTGTTTTTTTCGGATGGTCAAGCAACAACAAAAAAAAATCGGTCAGTTCAATCAAAAAATCATCAAAAAATCTCAATTAAACAATGGTAGGTTATTATGTAATCAAACACAGCAACCAAAAAAAAAAGATTGTTTTTGCTGTTGTTTTTTTTTCATTAAGATTTTCTGGAAAAGGGAGATGTTATTTGATAAAGGTTTTGGCTGTTGTTGTTGATTTGTTGTTGTTGTCCATTTAACACTCAGTCAGTCAGTAAGTCAATCCAAAGATTTTATTGTGATAATTTTTGGAGAATGCAATAACAACAACAACAACAAAAAACACACCTAAACAATATTGAAAATATCATTAAAGATTATCATCCAAAAATAATTAAAAATCAAAGATCATCAAGTCAATCAAACCTAACCTAATTGGACTTTAGGTCATAGTCACTGAAAAGGTTAGGTTAGGTTGATGACCTATGTGTGTTTTATGTTTCCTTTTTCCGTTGTTTGGATTATTTTTACATTTGAAAAAGTTTTTGGAAATTTTTCGGAAATTTTTCCGAAAAAAAAATTCAATCCATCAAATTAATATGAAATTACGACCAATTCAAAAAAAACAAAAAACAAAAACAAAAAAAAGTCCCAAATCTCAATTAATCCTTTTTTTTTCTCTTGTAAAAAACAAACAAAAGATCATAATGCCTGATACAGTACAAAACAAAACAAAACAATTAATCCGAATCTTTTTTTTTTCCCGAACGCAAAAAACAATAGTGTTCCAAAACAATGACATTTTGGGAATACAAACAAACAAACATCATTTAAGCATATGGTAAATCATCATTATAATAATAATCATCGAATGGCGATAAGTGATTTTTTCGTTTCTTATTGATTCGACTGTGTGCCATCTTCGATGATTTTTTTTGGGGGGCTTTTCAACCGATAGTTTTGCAAAAAAAAACCAGATATATTCAAATCGTTTCAAATGGCGGTATATTTGTTTTTGCTGTAATTCAAACACACAACCGAAAAAACAAACAATTGAAAATAAATCCGGATTTTGTTTGTTGTTTTGTTCACTGCTGAATTCAAAAAAACTTAAATTTATTGATTTTCAGCAAAAATGCTGAAAGTGAATATGGGAAAAACGATGAAAACGAATAAAATCAATTCAAATCATCAAGTAATTTCTTCTTCTTCATATTTTAAGAGTTTTTTTTGTTTTTTGGCACTAAACATTATCTTGTTTTTTTGTTTGAATTGGTCATTGTTTTTTCGGGAAAATTTTTTTGGGAAAAAAAATTTATTGAAAAAATCACAAACACGCAACTCCCGGTGATTGATCCGGGTAATTCAGGTGAACAGCAACAGCAGCAGCAGCAAATCAACAAAATGAAAAGTTTACCTGAACGATGTTTATTTTATTTAATTTTCGTTTGTTTGTTTTTTTGAATTTCTCACTTTCTTGTCACCGATTAATGATGATGATTTTTGATTTTTCGGATGAATATCCGGATATTGTCCAACCCAAAATCAATCCAATTTCATCATGAATGCAACTGATTTTTTATTTCCACTGATAT